TAAGCAGCCAAACCACTCATTTGTGAGAGGTGTAAGAAGAGGTTTCTACCAAGTGGATGTGCCTGGTTCTGTGATAGACTTTGTGGACTCACCTTGTGTGGACTGAACTGTTTTATTTGCCCTCTGTTACATGGGGTTCCTTGGTTTTCTGCTTCAGCTGAAACATAAAAAACCAGATTTATTTTCCCAGGGTGTGGCATCTCATCAGATGAGGCCTGTGATCCAGTTTTCTTGCATTGGCAATGACACCAAGTGCCAAGTAGAGGTTTGTGTTCTGGGAAAATCCTTGTACTGGTGTGATGTTTTCATTCTTGCTCACAGCAGGGAGATCAAACAGAAGAATGGGTTGCAGATAGCGAAAGAGGAAAAAAAGCTCTGGGAATTTATTACTTTTTTTTTTTTTCCACAGGGAGAATAAGAAAAAGAAAAAAGGCAGCACCTCTTGGCAAACAGTTATATTAAGTACAGTTTGCAAGAACTGTGTATGAAAATAAGTTAAAATTATTTTGATTGTTCATGTAGAAAGGAGACAAAGAAAAGGTAACATGGTAAAAGAATTAAAAAGGACGTGGTTGCAGAAGGTGGGAACATCTGTTCTGCTGCTTCTAATGACACTTGGGACTGTTCATGTTAACAAAAAATAGAAAACATATACAAAATATAATGATTTTTGTTCTGTGTGTGATTGACTGTGGAACTCACTCCACTAGAAAAGTTTAAGACTTAATATACAAATTAGAATCAGTCACACAGAGGTGAAGAACAGCATGAACACTAACAACTACACGTAGAAAGATAATAAATAAATACTGTGCTTAAGTTGCTCAGCAATTATTAGAAGCAGAAAGATGGGGAGTAAAGTGCTTGTTAGAGAATTCTTACACCTGAGCCAGAAATGTTTCATGTCAGGCCCTGCCAGCCAGCACTTTGGCCACAGCTATGGTCCAGGGTCACAATTTGTATTGTGACTCTTGCATAGACAGCATCACATCGATTGACTTCGTTTTAGCTTCCCTGGTAATTTTGTTAAACACTTGCTGGTGGCTGTGGCTTGATTCTGTTCAAGAGTTATTCTTTGGAAGTGTTTTTCTTTCCTTAAAATAAATTAAATACTCTGAAGTTAATCAGAGACCTCGTGTGCTTTTTTACATGTCACAAGGTCATGTATCTTGGGCTGATGACAGGATTGCAAATGGAGACAAAGTGGTCAGAGGCTGCACTAATCCCTGCCATGAGGGATATGAAGGAGCAGCAAATAAAGCAGGGTCTATGTTAAGTAGGTGGGAAAATGCTTCTGAAAAAATCCTCTGAATAGGATGATTCCTCTTTTCCCTGTGCATACCTGGCTAACATTGTTTTGTGTTTTCCCTGCGTGCTCTGGAGCTGATCCTGGGGGTTTTGCCTTCCTGAGAGCCACAGAAAGACAGATCTTGTCCATGTACCTGTGAAAATATTACTTGAGTTCAGATGAAAAAATTTAAATAACCCTTGCTGCATTCCATCTTTTTAAACCCTTGCTCACTCTTGCTCACAGCCCTGTGTGTAGCTGCTGCTAAGGGAAAGTTTGGGGAAGTCCACCTGCCACAGAAATCCTTTTGTGATTTCCTTTAAAAATTCATCCCAGATACAGATTTATAATTGGTTATTTGGTTTCCTACTAGATATCCCTGCCCCTCACACTCACACTTGATCCCTCTGCATAAGCCAAATATTTCTCTGTTCGAGCTCTAATGCCCCAGCGATGGCCACAAATAAAAATACAGCACAAAATGCAACAGAACCTTTCAGCAGCAAATAGCTTCAGGAAGGTGGCTCGTGTTCACTGCTCCAGTGGGATGAAATTCAGCATTTCAGTGCAAACAAGCAAGCAGTGTCTCTGGGCAGCACACAGCTTCAGAACAGCTTTGGCGTAGTTGGAAAAAAAACAAACAAAAAAAACCCCACCAAACCAACCAAAAACCAAACCAGCTTTTATATTCAGACTCACTGTGTATGTAGATACGTGTATGAATGGTTTTTAACTTGTCCTGTGCAATGACACAGGTAGTAGTCCCTCTTTTTTTTTGTTACAGAAATGCAGATGAACATATTTCAGTCTGTTTTGTAGAAAGCAGGGTGTTTTGGCTCTCAGGAACCCCATGCTTTTGAAATGCTGAAAATTTCAAAGGAAATGACAAATTGCCTCCCTCCCTGTGGGGCTCCAAGGTTTTGGCCTGAGTCACAAGCAGAGGCTGAAGCAGGACTGTGATAGCCCTGCATGGGACTGGAGAGCCTCTGGCTTTTGCTCTGACCCCAGCCCAGAAGGAGTCTCTGATACAGGTGTGGGACAGGTAGAATTTGGAGGAGACAAGAAGGAAAAAATAGGAAAATTTCCTGAAGTATTTCTTTTACTTGAATGCTTAGACAAGACTCCTTCACACTTCAAGGCACATCCTTTTTTTTTTTTTTTCTTTTAAATATTCAGCAATAATTAATAATAACAATAGTAATAAGAATAAAAATGTCTAGCTCTTCACATGTATACTGAGGGCTGCAAAGCTGTAAAAGAAGGACTTCTGCTATTGTGTCAGCAATTTAGCCTGATGCTGGCTTAAACTGCCTTGCAAGAGGAGCAAAGAGCTAACACTGACCACAGCTCCAACCCTGAGACTGCAGATCAGGCCAGCAACCAGGGAAAAGAGCCTCATGGCACCTGTGTGAGGGGACAGAAATGCTTCTGTAGTCTCTGGTTAAATTGAGGAGCAGGGAAATCCTTTTTTTAGATGAGGGCACCTGAGAGAGCTCTGCCAGAACACATTTGTGCTTCTGTTCCCATGGCTCACCATGCAGCAGCGAATTTGGGCACTGAAATGGCCCCATCTCAACTGCAGGAATGTCCTGCAAGACAAGGCAAATTCACCACACAGCTCAGCCCCACGTTTGGCAGGGGAGCCCAGGGAGGGTTTGAGTGGTGCTAATTCCCTCCCTGGCAAAGGCAGCCCAGGCCAGGGCTCCCCGCTTTGTCTGGGGCTGTGGGTGATGCTGTGCAGTCCAGGAAAGGCAGAAACTGAAAACCATCCTCTCCCTTCAGGTCTCCCTGGCAGATCTCTTTTGTCACATTCAGCTCTTTTCTTTTTAACAACGTTTTTCCCTCCCCTCGAAGTTTTCCGGTCTTGACCAGCAGTTTCAATGTCAGCTCTTCAAATGTCACCTGCGATCCCCTCCCTCACCCCATCACCCTCACCCAGATCATTTCAACACACAAAAAAACCCAACCAAATCTGCATTGCCACCACATCCTTCCCTCCTAACCTGGAGCAGTGCATCTGTCCTGGCTGGGATGGGCTGGTGGCAGAGCCACAGCAGGGACCCGTGGGCAGGGCAGGGCGTGGGGAGAGCAGTGCCCGGTGCCCAGGTGGCTCGGCCTGGGGAGAGAGGGAATTGGGGGAGCTCCAGGGGTTCTGCCCCACACTGCTGCCCAGCAAAACCCTTCAGGGCTGGGCTGCCAATCAGAATGAAAGCAAGAGCCGGCCAGAAAGCACCTATAAATATCTGTATTTCTGCACACGAGCCGTGCATGTGGATGTGGATGTGGATGTGGCTGCGTGTCCATGGGTTGTCAGGAACACTCGGATGTGAACCCAGAAGCTCCTGCCAGGCCCGGCACCCAGCACTGGCAGGAGGGCTCTGGAGGTGAGAGGTGCCCTGCACAGGGTGGCAGAGCCCGGCTGGCACCGGCACCACCACGGACACGGAACCGGGCCGGGATCGGGCACAGGGAGCGCCACAAGGGCTGGGTCAGAGCCCGGCACTGGGAATGTCCCAAACTGCCCCAGGATGGAAAACACCCTCTAGGAAGTGGAACTCGCAGCCCCCCACTCAAAACAAAACATTAAATTAAATAAAAAAAAAATTAAAATGGGGAAGGTTATGCAGGGATAGAGTTTTGTTGCTTTTTTTTTTTTTTTCAGTGCATGTATAAATGAAGGCAATTTGGGTGCTACAAATATAAGACGAAAATACACCTAATTCCATCATCATATAGATATAATATATTTCACTCTCACCACATAAATACAAAACATCCAAATATCCAAAACATTCAGAACAAAAGTTAGTAGCAAGGGCTCAGCGCTCGATTCATTCATTATTTTTTCGACTAGTTGCCTAGAAACTTCAGACGTAAATAATTTACAATAAAATTACTATTTTCTTTCCATCCAGCTCCTTCTGTCCAGTTCTGGTCTATAGTTAATTCTATATTCTACAGCAACCATTCCACTTTTTGTATTTTTTTTTTCTTTTTTGGTTACAGTTTGGTGGCACATATTTATACAGTTTGTAAACGCCATGTGTTAAAGTTCAAAGAAAGAAAAGAAACTTAAAACCAAAGTAAATAATTTTTTCCCCCAAAGAACTACCTAAGTACAGCATCCCTTTTGTGGCAAATTCAAGTACCGAAATTGAACAGAAAATATTCGATCCAGAGTACTAGAAGGTGAAATACATATGTTTGTGGAGAAAATAGCAGTAAGAATTATGAAAAAAAAAAAGGTTCGTTACATATATGTATTTTAAAGTACAAAAATAACAATTAAAGATACGCTTTTTATATTTTACGTTCGTTTTAAATGAAGGGTGAGCGATATGCGAGAGGGTTATTTTAGGAGGAAGGAAGGCTACAGGGCTTTTTTTGTGTTTAGAGGAACATTGCAATTATTTGGAAAAATCAAATAGAGCAATAAAAATTAAAATTACCGTCGCGACAGATCTAGATACAAATAAGATTCGCGAGTTCCATGATTTATCTGCAGATTGGTTTTTGCAGATAAATTCCGCGGGACTGGCCCGTTAGAATTCAAATGGGGAAAAAAAAAAAAAAAGGAAAAATGGGGGGAAAAAAGGGTGGGACGTTGTGTTAACTCGAAGGAAGAGACAATTTTATTCAAAATTTCTGCAGCCACTGGTTTCTGTCTCCCCCATTCGTGACTGTACATTTCGGCCCTTCCCACATTCGAGATTTACCGTGAAAAAGAAAAGTTGCTGGAGGATTTCCTGACTGGTATTAAGGGCTCGGTGTTAAGGAAACCGGGGGCTGTAGTGCAGCGAGTGTGGGGGTAAACGGGGGCAACAGGTGGGGCCCCAAAACCTTTGTGCTTACAAATCGCTGAGTCTGGGAGACACAAAAAAAACCACCCCAAAACGGGCATCACCTGGCAGCTCCATCCTCCTCTCTCCGAAACGCCGCTCCCTCGCTCGGCGTTGGCTAAAGCCGATCGAAAAGGAGCCCGACCGCTGACCCTCTGCGTCCCTTCCCAAAGGAGCGAACAGCGCGATCGCCGCTCCCGCCCGGACAGACGGACCGCGGGCCAGGGG